CTCTGACATTAGACAAGGTTGCGAACAGGGATGGGCCCCCGTTTTCAATCATACTTATCATGAATAGGATGACAACTTCTTTGTTCACTGTAACGACTTTTGGTTGGCGGGGTCTATTTACAGGTTGTATTGTAACAGGTGAGGACAAATTATTTTTTTGTCGCATTTTACATACACACACACGCGCGCGCGCATACTGAAATGATAGACCCCTTCATGGCTACCTTGCACTTGCTGTCCTTCTCTCTGAGTGAAAACTCCAACTAATAACGAATAATGAATCAACTTCCAAAGCAGAAAACTTGGGGTGGGGGGTGGGGCATTTTGAATCATGTTCCACTGTTCTACTGTCGTGTATATTGCTTCCTACGCTCTTCTCCTTGTTTTGATTTTGCCAATCTGAGCTGAAATTCTGACTCGAATACATAAGGAAACAGATGTACAAGGGGGAGGACACAGCTTTGTGACGAGTACATAAATATACTCAAATATTTCGTTCTTAAATATGAACACATTCCCAAAATTTAAGGATAGAATATATTTATGAATACACAATGCCATTTAGAAAGTGGTCAAATGTAACAAATGTTATATTTGGAATAACACTTTCTTAGTAAAGTACAGATTCTCGTACTTTTTTGGGTTGAGTCCCGTCCGGAACATATTTGTTTTCAGCTTACAATATTACAGACTTGTCTCTCTCTTTTTTAAACGAATCTTGCCCCGACAAACCAGTGGGCGATATAGTGGTAGCCAGGTGAGCACGGTCATCCCTGGAGCGCGGTCCTCAATCGGTGTGGCACTCAACGTCTATTTAGACGCCGATAGTTTCCATAAGGAAGCAACCATTGGTTTTCGAGAGGAGTGTGTGCGTGCGTGTGTGCGTGCGGATGTGTGTGCGTGCGTGCGTGCGTGCGTGCGTGCGTGCGTGTGTGCGTGTGTGCGTGTGTGCGTGCGTGTTTCTAAAAGTCCCTGTTTTGCTGAAAAAAGAATTATGTGTCCTTTTCTTACAGACTATATTAAAGCGTTCAAAGAATACAGCCCGTTATTTGTACGTAGTTTAAGAGAAAAGTAATTGAGCATTGGTTTATGTTCGAATAAATAACTGAGCACCTGAGCATTGAAAACAATTTCTGATCTCAACCCAAAAAATAAAATAATAAAGTCCACGTTAGTCCATCATCTTCTTTATATCAGTTTCAGACATAGTACTTTCGCTGTCTCATGTGTACACTGATATAAAGAAGATGATGGACTAACGTGGACTTTATTATTTTATTATATATTACATGTACACCGATTGAATATTTACCTCATTTTTGTATATATATCGATAGATTGTTGACGTCTGCCCCGTCATATTACAGAAGACAGTACCTACAGACCAAAATCTTCTTCTGTGTCATTGGTGGACGTTTTTCTCAAAATATAACGCAATATGAATATACATATATTAACGTATTAAATTTGTAAATAAAAGAAGAAGGTATTGTCTGCAATCCGGGTAAGCGTGGGCACTCAACCTGAACAAAGGAATCAGCATGTAAATACATGGACATATGAGGGAACTTCATACATATGATGAGGACGTTTGAAACAAGTCATTGTTCACACAAACAGGTAAAACCTGACAAATAATGCTGTGAATAAATCTAGTATCACTGTCACCCTTGTTTTGTTCTATTATTGGGCTCCCTGGTCACTCCTTAAGAATTCAAGAGGGGGCTCTTCCATACCCACATCACCTGCTCGATCAACCCAGTCAAGCACAGCAAAGGCAGAGCACCTAGGTACTTGTTTGTCTTGTACTGTAAATTAGGTTAAGCGGGCGAACACCGATGAATAGAGGGGTACGTTGTGCACAATGGTTTAGCAAAGTGTAGATCAAAGTTTAAACTACAAAGTAATTAATCTGAGTTTAGAGAGGCCTAAATAAGACACTTGAATCTGTAAATGATCCCTGTCTCACATAGACATTCATGGGAGTGAAACAGCAGACACACTGGCAAAGCTAGTCCTGGACAAAGCAGAGATACACCCTATTCCCTTCAGCAAACTGGAGAAAATCAAAATCAAAGCCTCCACAGCCCACAAATGGCAAACCCAATGGGACGCAAGTAAGGCTTGCAGGTGGCTCTACAAAATACAAAATTCAAACTCAAATAAGAAAAAAGACATACTATTACTCATCTGAAATATGGTCAGCTACTCAAACGTATCAAAACAGAGCAAAGTAGTTGTGTCCCTTTCTAAACATACAAATCCATACAAGTATGAAAATAGAAACCATATCAATATAAAAATAGAATGATGGTCTAGAGTAACAAACTGTTTTAAGTGAATGAGTGAGTGTGTTATGTTTAACGCCGCTTTTAAGTAATGAAGTAGCCAATCACGGGCCTGTAATTTTATCTTACACATTTGATACCAATTATCGCAAATGGGTTTCTCACCCACAGATGTGTAAGAAACATTTTTTTCATTCCCGTTCCAAAAGATAAACTGACCGCCTCCGTGGTCTAGTGGTAGAGCGTCCGCCCGGACAGCGGAAGTTCGGGGGTCTGATCCCCGGCCGGGTCATACCAAAAGACGTTAAAAGATGGCCTGTCCGGCGCTCGGCATTAAGGGGCTAAAACAAGGATTAATCCGCTCGGAGTCAGTATACTGTGTCTGAGTGGGGTATTCATGTTAAACTGCCGCATGCATGGTATCTCAGTGTGCTAGCACTATAAATCGGCATCAGTCCGGACTAGTACAAGCAGCCACACAAACACACACACGCACGCACGCACGCACGCACGCACCCACACACACACACGTGCATGCATGTCGCTATATCAGTGCAATAATCTTGGACGCGACGTTAAACCCCACTTCACCTCACCTCACCCAACAGATTAACACGTATGCCTGATATAAACTATCACCCAAAGCCGATCCTCAGAATATATTAAAAATGAACACGCAGTAATTCAAGATATTTCTTGAACGGGTCTCAATACCTATTGATCCTATAGACTGTAAGCGACTTCAACTCAAGTGTTTGGAATCTCCTTTAGTATGTATATACACGGTGTGACATGTTGCGAGCCCCACAGATAATGTGTTTTGAATACCACTTTGCCATGCTGTGCCCGTAGGCTTGTCTTAATGCTGATAATACACGCTGAATGAACAATTGTAATGGTATTTACTGAACCTGCCCAGACTGGTAAGGTGTGTTGTTTGTAATATCATATTCCCTGTAAAAACATGCCTGCTAGTGTTAATGTAAATCTCTGAGACAAGGTACGGAGATTTATGTTTCATAACTTGAAACCCCAGTAACCATGTATCACCATCAATTCATTGCACCACTTTGAATCAGACATACATTGACGATTCCTTCATAAAATGTATAAAATGACGTGTACAAGGCACCCACCGAGTCCGTGTCTCTAACCAAGTACATGGGGGAAAAAGGTTGAAGCGCCATCCTTTCTTTATGTTCAACTATACTACTCACAAGAAGCTGAACAACGCCCGATATTTTTTATATGATTATAATTAATCGGACATGGCCATGGCGTCACGTAACTTTTGGCACGACCACGAGCTGTGTTGGCTGACATTAATAGTTTGTTTGTTTGTTTGTTTGTTGTTTAACGCCCCACTCAGCAATATTCCAGCTATATGACGGCGTAAATAATCGCAATTGGGATCGATGACATGCATCAACCAAGTCAGCGAGCCTGACCACTCGATCCCGTTAGTCGCCTTTTACGACAAGCATAGTCACCTTTTACGGCAAGCATGGGTTGCTGAAGACCTATTCCACCCCGGAATCTTCACGGGTACTGACATTAATAGGGATGTTATAAAATACTATTTAGCGATTACAGTGATTGTTCGTAAAACGTTTTGGAAGTTAAAGGTAAGTGTCATACATATAGATTATTGTGAGAACATGTGTGTCATACCGATTTTACCGAAACGAGTGTCAGAATTGTTGTATTTCCCGACCGAGAGCATACATGAATTCTTACACATATTTTTTTTTATAACCCATTATTTCTTAATCCTTTTTACCACACCTTCAGAAAAATGCATTGATCACGACCGCCGTCATATAAATAAACCAAATTGTCGAGTAACATCTAACTAGACGTCGTTTCTAGTGTGATGTCATTCCGACCTTACGTGACAATAGGCTTCGAATGACGTTAACAAGGCCGTCGGGGTGACGCAAACAATGACATATTGCACTAGTGCACATGCCATGTTTTGAACTGGGTTATTTCTAACCATATAGGTAATAAATAGAGGATATTTCATGTGTCGAGTGAAATGTCATGTTTCTCTCATCAAGTGACGGGGGCAAAAGAGATATTTTTCACGAGTGGCATAGCCACATGATACTAGTATTAAAACATGATATTTCACGAGACACATGGAATATCCTAATTATTAAACACTTTGTATGTACAGTAAACTACGTTTATAACGAACACGCTTATAACGAACTGGCGGATATAACGAACTGTTTTTTGGGTCCCGGCCATTTGCTGTACATATACTGTATATATGCTTATAACGAACTACGGTTATAACGAACTAAAATTTGTGGTCCCTTTGAGTTCGTTATAACCGTAGTTTGTAAAATCTTGAAATGTAAATTATCCCTCCCTAACACACAGGGATGGTTCACCACACCCTGTAATTGAGACTTAAAAGGTAGTTTTGTGTTTGCAAAATCTTTAAAAAAGTATCAAAAGATATTTAATGTCACGAAAATTCTTTATCGTGCATATAGATATGATTATGTACAAAATCAACTTTAACAAAAAATTTTTTTTGAAAACTACGAGACCGCTGTTGGAATCGACATTTACGTTTACCCGAAGAAATGCGGTATCGCGGTAGTTTATAGGTCACTTGTGTCAACGTCTTCGACTCTTGAAATACAACTGTTTTTATCACACGATACCCCGATATTGCCCTATGTATATCGACAGTGTTCAAAGAGGTCCTGCCTCGTCAGGTGACAAATATTTATGTATCCACCCATCTATGACCTCACACACTGTTTATACGGTCACCAGTAACAGAGTAGCAACATAACAATACTCCTCACAAGACAAGACCGGACCCATTGAGATATACACGTCTTCTAGAGCCATTTTGTAGTCAACCAACGTGGGTTAGCCTTGTACTACGGATACACTGAAAGCTTCGCGAGTCCGGTCTTATATATATACAGTAAGTACACGCATTTATGTACTGCTATATACTAACTGGGGGTTTATTTCAAGCCTATTCAACGAGTAGACCCATGTACGAGCAACGTATTAAGTACTGCTATGTGCTGTTCAGGTAAAAACCTTGTTAGTGGATTTATCTTCCGCAGGATTAAGAGTTAGTCCCTCTATATAACGATAAAGTCTTACTTAGAGTATAACGTCTTATCAAATTACTAATGCTGGTCGATTGTTACTCTATGCTTAACATTGTGAAGTCGATTCAAGCGACAAAGATCAAATAAATTTACATGTACTGCTAAAATGTCACATACAATGCACTACTTCTTTGAAAGGCATTTAGAAGTGATTCGGATAAGGAAGAGAATATATGGATGTCAACTTCTTTATTATGAGGAACACAACGTTTCGGAGTATATGCTTACTCCTTCATCATTCACCTGATGAAGGAGTACTTAAGCATGTACTCCGAAACGTTGTGTTCCTCATAATAAAGAAGTTGACATCCATATATTCTCATCCCTAATGCACTACTTCCCAGAAATACCTGTATTGATGCCTTACCAAAGTGAAATATATTTTACCTTTGTTTAATAATCATATCTGAATCCAAATGCTGTAAACAGTAACCTGATAACTGCTCTTACTAAACACGTATACTCATTGGGATAGAATGCATGAGAGTGTTATCGGGTTAACCCTTCTGTGAGCAGTTAATAAGAGCCACATATTTTTTTAAATTTATTTATTTATTTAAAAAAAAACTATATTCACATAAGAGTCAGATATCGTTGCTGTCAGTTAATGTGGGAGGAAAGTCAAAAGTGACGCAGGCCACATGAGTCAACTGTTATCATGGTCAATACGCTCATAAACTCAGGTCTTTACACTCAAACCTGTCACCACGGGATATGTGCACGGCTGACAACTCCGTATGTCGAGGTGGGTCGCCTTATTTCACAGAGCAAACACGCCCCTATACATATGATTTGTTTGTTTGTTACTTAACGCCGCACTCAGTAATATTCAAGATATGCGACAATGCGACAATAATCTAGACCAAACAATGCAGTGATTGACATAATCGGCATTGATCTGGACAATTAGGATCATGTCATGTATGAACCAAGTTACCGAGCCTGACCGCCCGATCCCGTTAGTCGTGTCTTACGACAAGCATGAGTTGCTGAAGACCTATTGTAGTGAGTGAGTTGGGTTTAACGCCGCTTTTAACAATATTCCAGTTATATCACGGCGTGTCAGCTTAATGTGGCATGAAAGCCCGAAGTGGCGCAGGTCTCAGACGTTAACCACTTTGGTGAAACCCACGAGTACGGGTACTGACAAACCTAGAAACATAATCGGGGCTAACCGGGATTCGAACCCACAATCATAGGTTTCTGGCTTGCCCAAGGGACACAACTCTGCACAGCGAATCGCGGCGCTTTAGACGACTGGGCCACCCGTGCCCCATAAGAAGACCTATTGTAACCCGGGTGGGCTAAAATATAAGTGAAAGAGGCGTTGGTATTCTAAATGATATGTCAAGTGTTTTCTATTTAGTTGTATATACAGCTGCGACTCTAACCATACCAGGATCCGACGATAGTGAGTTCGAATCCCCGAATACCTTAATTATGATCAGCCCTCCATATTCCCGCACTGTGGCTAAACCCAGGTCAATGTGTCTGAGTAGCCAGGTGTCGGGTAACACAGGTTCCACTCTGCATGGTTATACGTGTGTCTGTAATAAAGGAAGACGACGCATTAAAAGCGGTACACAATGTTCGTCACGCCGAAAACCCGGGTTCGATTCCCCACATGGGTACAACGTGTGAAGCCCATTTCTGGTGTCCCCCGTCGTGATATTGCTGGAATATTGCTAAAAGCGGCGTAAAGCCATACTCACTCACTGCAGATAACGTTTTTGACATGCCATGTGTTTGTTCTGCCACAGCCTCGTCATGGCAGGCGCCGGATCCCCGCTTGTCAAGGGCATGAACTCGGGGGAGTCCTTACTCAAGTTCATCGACAGAGTTGTCCGCCCTGACGCAGGGTATATAGCAAGATGTCAGGAACTAGTTGGGAAGTTCGTCAAATTTCTTGAGATGAAAAACGGACCCCTGAATGTGAATAAAATAGTAACGGTGAGAGTTGTGAACTTGTTCAATGCAGACATCGGTCCAGTGCGGCCAGCACACTGTATATTAGGGGTATCTAACCGTTGGTCTTTCCATTATGACAAACACGAACAGATACATATTTGATCTAAAATATGCTTCTTGGTACGTTCCGTGAACCACTCGAACTCAATTATGGCCATGTACCGTTTAAGTCGATGTATGTAACGGGGCTACGCTCAGGAAACGCAACAGTTCTAGTGATTTGAAGCCATTCATTACTCACTATATGTATTCTGCTTACGGTTACCCTAATTACATAAATGCAATTAGAAGGCTGGATATACTCTGTATAAAGGTCCCGCTAGATGCCATGTTGGCAGTATGGTCTAATGTCGACACTCCGCTCACCTCAACTACGGAAAAGGGGGCACGGGTGGCCCAGTCGTCTAAGGCGCCGCGATTCGCTGTGCAGAGTTGCGTCCCCTGGACACGCCAGAAACCTGTGATTGTGGGTTCGAATCCCGGTTCGCCCCGATTATGTTTCTAGGTTTGTCAGCACCATACCCGTGCTGGTGGGTTTCACCGAAGTGGTAAACGTCTGAGACCTGCATCACTTCGGGCTTTCCTCCCACATTAAGCTGACACGCCGTGATATAACTGGAATAATGTTAAAAGCGGCGTTAAACCCAACTCACTCACTCAACTACGGAAAAATCCATTGCATATCCTATGCTCTTCCAGATCTTCCTAGTTTTCATTGTTTACGAATTAATTTATTAGCCACTAGTATGGTAGTGGTGTGTGCCATTGTGTCATTAGATATGAAACTGCGCACCAGTGATAGTTGTTGCCGTATTTGTCGTAGTAGTAGACGGAATCGTTGTCTTCGTTGCAGTATATCAGCTTATTTTGGTTAATGATTCTTCCAGGCAGGATCTCTCGTGAGTGGTACTGCCGAGAGGGCAAGGGCCGACATCGACCTCATCATCTACCTCAACGACTACAGCAGCGTCAGAGATCTCAGCAGAGACATTGGCAACGTGCTACGACATCTGAAGACCTACATTGAAACAGACGTCATCTGGGCCAAGAGCCTCGTGTTCAAGGCAATGGCACCACATTCTGCACAGTTCTTCCTCAAGTTGGGCGATAGCGACACCGAACATACAGTCGACCTGCTCCCGGCTGTGGACATCGCGAAAACAAGTACTTGCAGAAACCTAGTTGATCGTGCATGTCATAGTATTACAAGGGTCTCGGATGGTCACTCATCTAATTTAATGTGACCGCCTCCGTGGTCTAATGGTAGAGCGTCCGCCTAAAGAGAGCGAAAGGTCCGGGGTTCTATCCCCGGCCGCGTTATACCAAAAGACGTTAAGAGATGGTGCTTGTTATTACCTTGTCTGGCGCTCGGCATTAAGGGGCTAAAACAAGGACAGGTCGGCTCGAAGTCAGTATACTGTGAATGCACGTCGCCATTTAAGTGCAATAATCTTGGAGTCGAAAAACCCCTTTTCACCTCACCTCACCTTGGGCTTGAAGTTTATTGCGTGCTGTGCATATTCCAATCATGATTTTGTACACCAATGGATAAGGCACACCAGCAACTGTGATTAACTGTGTACCGCTGAACAATGGCTTATTGTCATGAATAAGTATTTTGGCACTATATAATCTTTCACACACATCATAACGAACCCCAAATTTCGGAGCAGAATCGTCCACACCTTTCCATGGTATCGCACCATGATAATGTTCTCAACTGTGACCTTGCTTATAGTGTAGCAGCATACAACCCGACTGCATTCAATCATCAAATCAGATCTTAGTTCTCGCTGCCGCTACACCAAAGGTTTGTGTTACGAGCACTAGGATCTGATATTAAGGAGATTGTGATTGCATCCATCTTTGCTAAGCTTTCACTGGTTCGCTTTGTAAAAATTCCATTACTGGTTATACAATATTGCTGACTCCGTCCAAAGAAAATCACACAATAATAATCTCTTAATACTAGCGATTGTGGGGGAGTAGCAAGCAGACAGTCTTTAGCAGATTAAAAATAATTTTAACTGTCCTTCTCGATTCCTTTTGGACAATAATGCGTGTACTGTAGACTGTCCTTATGAAGGTTTCTGACACAGTCTGTAGGTGGCTCATTGCTCTTCGGCAAGATATCAATAACTAATATCCTGTTTGTTCCAGTGTCGCAGAGCGCCATCTATGAAGAGATGAAGGACCAGACAGACATCCGGAGGTTCTACGGCGTGAGTCTCGCCCCCTTTCACTTCCGGTTCCTCCAAAAGGTGCCGGCCAAGGTCAAAGATCTCATCAGACTCGTCAAGTACTGGAGAAGGGTGGAGTGCACTTTTCATTCTTCAGCCATTCGGGGCCCATTTATTGTGTTTATAATTTGGAGGCGTCTTTTCGTAAAAATTACATTCTCTGGCCTAAATTGACGTACCTCAAATTTCAAAACGTTGTTTGTATATCCAAATTGGGATCATCTTCCCTATAACTGACTATAAAAGTCCAGTTTCACTGTATATCCTGTGTATCCCTATAACTGACTATAAAAGTCCAGTTTCACTGTGTATTCATCCCAATTAGGGTCATCTTCCCGGGGCAAGGGAGTTAACAGACTATAAAAGTCCAGTTTCACTGTGTATTCATCCCAATTGGGGTCATCTTCCCGGGGCAAGGGAGTTAACAGACTATAAAAGTCCAGTTTCACTGTGTATTCATCCCAAATGGGGTCATCTTCCCGGGGCAAGGGAGTTAACAGACTATAAAAGTCCAGTTTCACTGTGTATTCATCCCAATTGGGGTCATCTTCCCGGGACAAGGGAGTAAACAGACTATAAAAGTCCAGTGTTACTGTGTACCCCAATTAGGGTCATCTTCCCGGGGCAAGGGAGTTTACTGACTATTAAAGTCCAGTTTCACTGTGTATTCATCCCAATTGGGGTCATCTACCCGGGGCAAGGGAGTTAACAGACTATAAAAGTCCAGTTTCACTGTGTATTCATCCCAATTGGGGTCATCTTCCCGGGACAAGGTAGTAAACAGACTATAAAAGTCCAGTTTCACTTGCCTCAGGAAGATGAATTGGGGTAGGCGTCGCGAAATTAGTTTCAAAATATGTTTCTTGAAACCTGGTGGGGTTGCCTTGTGATTAAAACTCACCACCTAGTTACTACTTGAACACAGAGTTTGTTAACGTGTGTTAAGTACCTTTCGTTGAGCAATCAACACCCAGTTGTCATGGGGAAATGTGCTCACTATTAATCAATGACATGTTATACTACTGTACATGAAGGCTGGTTCCAACATTGTTGGTCCTTCTTGTTAAGGTATGGGGGTCAGTGAGCGTGTAGACTAACTAGCTTTGGGTAGCTGGTACCTATTCTGATCCTTGACCGGAAAGGGATTAAGGTCCCTCGTTGACTGTTAACTTTGTCCTTGAACAGGCCGAGGACGTGCCCATTGGGAGCGGCTTCATCGAGACACTTGTGATTGCTGTCTGGCGGGAAGACCACAAACCTCAAAACTTTGATATGAACCAGTACCTCCGACACGTCATGCAGCGACTGTCACAGATCAAGACTCTCGCCGTCGTCTTCGACGACAACTACAACCACCGCTTGTACAGAAACGACCTGTATGTTTGTGATCAATGTGACATCACATTCCTGTCGGGGGGCACGGGGGGCCCAGTCGTCTAAGGCGCCGCGATTCGCTGTGCAGTGTTGCGTCCCTTGGGAACGCCAGAAACCTATGATTGTGGGTTCGAATCCCGGTTCGCCCCGATTATGTTTCTAGGTTTGTCAGCACCATACCCGTGCTTGTGGGTTTCACCGAACTGATAAACGTCTGAGACCTGCATCACTTCGGGCTTTCCTCCCACATCAAGCTGACACGCCGCGATATAACAGGGATACTGTTAAAAGCGGCGTTAAACCCAACTCACTCACTCACTCACATTACTGTCACCAAACAATTATTTAACATCAATATATGCATTGCACAAAAAGAAGCTCAAAGAGGTTTTTCTCATTTAGTCGATTTATATATTAACTGGATATTTTACATACATAAAACAATCTGATTTGAACATATCTGACTTGTTAGTGTGTGTCAATACTTTAACCCAGAAAGTGTATATGTATTGTTCATTGAAGCCATTACTGGATTAATTACAAACATAGATATTGTTTCTATTTCTGCAGGAAGCCGCCATACCTGCTTGACCCATGTGACCCTTACAAGAACATGGCGCCCTCTATCGGTGACATTCCCATAGTAAAGAAGAAGGCGGACGCTGTACTAGAAAGCCTTGCACGTGACGGAAGTGTATCCACTCAGACAAGCAGATGAAACGGCCGGTCGATCCAAGTGCAATTTATGTAGCAATGTGATTATCATCGATATATTGATCCGACTGATTCGTATCGATATGACAATCGATAGCTGTCTGGAAATGTCGGGAGTTCTCAGGATAAGCTCCGTGCATAACCAGCTCAGCGAAACATCACTCGGTCCCAGTTCTGGGTCCATCGAGCAATATCGAGTTACCAGTCAGTTGGTTCAGTACTATTATAATGCTATTGCAATACAATCGCATCAGTGAAAACAGCCCCAGTGAGTTTTCGAGGGCGGGTGCTTATTTTGGATATTTTATTTACATGTTGACAGAATTAAACAAATTGGATAACATAAGAATAACATGTAGCGCAGAATGCTCACATAAATATTACTACCCTGTCAGATATGTAATGACGGATTCGGGTCAGTGATTTAACCACAGCGAATGCATGTATCACATGCAGTATATAGTATTTCAAGAGTAATATACAGTATACCACATGCAGTAACGTACAGTGGACCGCGAGCAGTGTGCGCTGGGCAGTAGCACAAATCCCCCCCTCCTCTCCCTCAAGCAAACCCCTCGTGGGGGAGTGACCAGGTCACAGGACAGGCGTGCACTGGTCAGCTGCTTCACTACATACTCTTGGAGTTGTGGGACTGCAACTTGATGCTGTTGTTTTATAAGGCCAAGGTTATGATCATCCGGATGACCACTGCACAAGAGGCATGTGGGTTGTGGACAAGATACTACGTGGCATAACTGTATTACCTTATAAAGAATAGTATGAATGTTAGAAAGAGATATATGCAGCCAGACCGGCGCAAGCTAGCAGTTGAGACCTGGGAGCTGAACACGAAACAACTAGTAAAGCTCCCATGCACAATAAAACGTTGTGGACCCGCAGACGGAGTTGTGTTGTATATTAAAGAAGTATCCCCTAGAACAACATACATTTTCTACGGCGGATACATGTTTATCAGGAACATTTATCAGGTATAGAGAGAAAGAGTCAGCAATCCATCAAAGCAAGTCAAGAAGTCGTATACGACTTGATGTGTGAGTGAGTGGGTTTTGATTTATGCCGCTTTAAACACTATTTTTTCATTATGGAGGAAAGGCTTACGTTTGGGAGTCTTAGACGCTTACCACTTTGGAGGAACCCGCGATTACGGGTATGGTGATGACATACTAAAAAACAATTTAAAAATGGGTCGAATATCGGATTAGAACCAACGATCAGCTTATCCTGGTCTGACTAAGAGACGCAACTCCGTACAACGACGTTCGGTATCGTAGACGCTACGCCTTCCCCTGCCACTACAAATATACGTATGACGACCAAGGACCAAATCAGGGCTAATCTCATTCAAATCCACGATCAGTGGCTCCTGGTACGTCTAAGGGACACAACTCCCCACAGCGAATAGAATGCCTTGGGCCACATCAAACGCAATTCACTGCAACGTGACGTTAAGTTTCAGTCTTCACGTGATCGGTGTCAACACTTACGTCATATTGTCTGTGTATTTCACCTGACAATGTAATGTGAAAGTGTTATATATACACGTGTACTTATATGCGATTTAATTCAGTGGCATTAACAATTATCTGAATAAATTGATATCGAAGTGTTACGTGTTTCTTTATGAATAGTTTAACCACCTTAATAAATGTATTGCTGTCATGTTTATACGATACTATTAGCATGGTGTCTTTAGTTGCCGTATACTTCGATTAACGTCGATTAACGAATTTCTGTACCAGAATTTCCATGTGCAATATGCGAAGAGGGTGTATATAGTTGAAATTCTTCATGCACGGCTTTCCTGTACGTGAAGTTTGTTGGTTCGCATCAGTGAATCAATGAGAAGACGGGATGTGTCTGTGCGTGCGTGCGCTCTAAGAGTTGAAATCCTTTACGACATTGCAGCTATTTCGTCCATGCATATGGACGTGATAGAAAATCATTCCCAGGGCACAAATGATTATGCGCCTTGTGCGACCCTGTGTCGAGAGAACCCTGTTATGGATGAATTGTACGAGGAACGGAGACCACCCCTAGTTATCTTGGTGAGATAAGAATGATATTTCACGGATTAACTGTGTATTGGTTTCACGAAGCAGTCATTCGATTATCACAACACGTAGCGGATAAAACACGTGACTTAACATGGAGAAAGCTTCTGGCATTGCTGGTGAAAAGGTCCCTGTGTACTACTGGAGGAGTACTCTTTAATAGTCATAATGTACATACATATTAACATGCATTACAAGCATGGTGTTTTCACGCTGACTGTTAATATGGTTATATAAAGACACAAACGCGTGATCTAATCTCTGGCTTACAATAGAGGGAATGAGTTTGATTTTAGAATCGCTTTTAGAAAATATTCCCGCAACATCACGGCGGGGGACACCAGAAATGGGCTTCACGCATTGTACCCATGTCGGGATTCGAACCCGGGTCTTCGGTGTGACGAGCGAACGCTTTTACCACTAGGCTACCCGACCGCCCCGGCTGCTATTAGAGCAGGGTGTTTCCATAAGACACACATGTATACACTTAGAGAGTACTTCTTATCCTTTACAGATGAACTAATCCGCAAAGTACTATACATTGCGGCAAAGAGTAAAATAACAATACGTAGAGCAAACATTCATAAATTGTAATTCAGTCATATTTTATTTTCTATAATGAAAACCTTCAAAGGTTTTGACTTCATCACAAAATGTTAAAGAAATACTAATCGTGCTCTTTATGAACCAAACGCCGCTTAAATCACACTAATTTGGTTGATTATCAGGATACTGGACTTGGAGGCATTGTACTTCTTCATACGGAGACAAGGAAATGTCTCAGTAAAATGGGTGTTCGACATTCGTGACCAACTCGTCCCATTCCATATGTGGCAGTTACATATTTTGACTATTTCTTGTATTCTACCTTTTAAGTATAATTCATGTACATAATTAAATGCAGTTGTAGTCATTTTATTTTATTGCTCAGGCTACTTTAAACACTAAACCATCAGTCACAGCACTCTTACTAAGCATGCTTACTTGCATGGTTTGTTTGTGAATGTCACACCCTGTGAACTAACACAATAGCCCCAGCCTTCTCCATACTCAAGCATTTTGTCTATATGGCCAGCTTGGGTACTCAGCCATGCTGTATGCTGGACACCTAAGGACTGTGGTCACTCCACATATACCTCTCCACGGATAAAGACTTATATATATTCACGTGTTTTTTTCACAAGGATCGTTTTGGGGAACCTTAGATCAAATTCCAAGGTTAGTATTTTATTATTGAATTGAGGATTTTATTCATTAAATTGTTTTATCAATATTGTAGATATTGTTTGTATTTGGATATATGTGTGTTTAGACACGAATATACGGAATGTAGATTCGTAATTATTATTGAGTTTAACAACCAAATAAGTATCCTACATTCATTAAAACATGTAAAAGCATTAAAAAAAGAAGTAAGATTAGTAGTTTTAGAAATGATAGAGTTTATTTGTGATATAAGAGGTAAGGCTAAGCAAGCTTGCATGTGATGAATGAATGTAGGTAAGCATAAATGAATGAATGAAAGTAAGCATATATGAATGAATGAAAGTAAGCATAAATGAATGAATGAAAGTAAGCATATATGAATGAATGAAAGTAAGCATATATGAATGAATGAAAGTAAGCATAAATGAATGAATGAAAGTAAGCATAAATGAATGAATGAAAGTAAGCATATATGAATGAATGAAAGTAAGCATAAATGAATGAAGGAAAGTAAGCATAAATGAATGAATGAAAGTAAGCATAAATGAATGAATGAAAGTAAGCATAAATGAATGAATGAAAGTAAACATAAATGAATGAATGAAAGTAAGCATAAATGAATGAATGAAAGTAAGCATAAATGAATGAATGAAAGTAAGCATATATGAATGAATGAAAGTAAACAAATGAATGAATGCATGAATGTATGTGGCATTTTATAGTATTACTCTTTCATGTTCAGCTACATGTATATATGATAGAAAGTATTTGTTCTTATTGGCACGTCTGCATGTACTGTATATGTATTGTTATTTCTTCTGCAGACGAGTTTTGCACTACTGTGCAGAAACTTTGCGCGGCATCGTCCCGTGGTGTGATATCAACCCAGGCCCACACACCTGGTAGGTTTACATGTCGTTTACATGTTGTCGTTTACATGTCATTGTCTAGTGTATGCATTTGATCATATATCAAGACAGAATACGTTTCTAATTAACATGTACATTAATATATTCTACCCAGTGCATTTACAACAATACTATGTACTGTATCTCATGATACTAGTATGCATATGAATTGTATGTATATATCTGTGTTTATGATATGTGTATATTGTTTTATATGTGCTATATTGTATACCTGATTGTTTCAGGGTGGTTTTCTTTTAAATCACATTCACAATTTCTGCAAATAAATATTGGCCATTGACGAACACCGTAGTGTCTGTGGTCTGTGGGCATCGGACCCAGTCCTGTTACACATAGGTTACGGAAACATGCGAGTGGTGACGAATCGGGTATTCTGATTTCTCGTTGACATTATAACGCCGCTTCTTTCTAGCGACTACGTTAGAGTTATCTGCCCCTGAAACCGGACGTTGTCAAGCGATTGTGAAAACATGAACACGTGTTTGCTGAAACTTCAGATTTGCTCTGTTCGGGGCTGACATCGTAATAATCATTTCCACTCAAAAAGAACATTAGATATGCCGAAAGTTAAACAAGACAAGAAAAGCCGTCAGCACCAACAAATTCAAAAACAAGGTGAGGTTTGGTATGCGAACAGTCAGGAATGATGGAGTTCGTGTGCACAGCGTACAAGCAGCCATGCAGAGACCTTACCTTATGCTTATATCGATATATAGCGGTAGAAACTAACCTTTTTAGACCACTGGTCCTCATAGTGATAACAGATAGCAAAACCCTTAAAAATGGCAAATTTCTACTAGTCCTTATGACACTTTAACTATTGGGCAGTTTGGCAAGGACTACAGGACTAGTGTCAGTTTCTAAAGCTGGGTATGTCTCTGACGCAACTTATTATTCCCCGCCCAACAAAGTTGGCGGGGTATATAGAAACGGGCTCCGTACGTCCGTCCGTCACGTTTCGTGGCCGGAGCATAACTCAGAAACCGTTCGATATTTTTTCATGAAACTTTGCAGGTCTGTTAAGTACATGCTGAACTTGTGCCTTTTGCTATTTAGAATTTTTTTTTTTTTTTACGTTTCCATGGCAACAAGATGGACTTCGGTCCCAAATTCTTTTTTTACAATTTCCATGACAAGTTCCACCTCAGTTAAAAAAGATTAGGGTTTGTTTAGATTTAATTATGTCATAAATTCTGCATCAGGGGTGGGGGATATAGCCACGTTAGTGGCAAACTCTTGTTTATTTCGTAATAATGATATTCTAAGTATTTTGTAATATGTAGGCCGATTTGTTGGTTTGTTGTTTAACTCTTCACTCAGCACTATTTCAGCTAAACCAAACAAACTAGTCATTGATACAGGAAACGTCCCATGTCATCTCAGTACAATGATGCACCATCATCCAAGTCACATGGCCCGACCATCAACCCATTTACCGGTAGTCGTTAAGTTATAACCAGTTGCCACCAAGCACCCACTAGATGCTTGTTATAGGCTATACAGTAGCTGAAGTAAACTAGATTGGACATATCTACATGTGTTCAAGGTATTATCAATCTCGGGTAACTGGATAATCCAGAATCATGGAGATCCGTACCCAGTATTTTGGGCGGACTTGTACACAAATGTTGGATGACCCACTCATATCTTATCAACTGGCTGACCATGAAATGATATTTAAAAATCCATTTAGTAATTCCAATCGCTTCTGAAGGCTTTCTGCTCTACCAAAACACATTGATTCAACAGATTTAACCAGTTTTCAACACGTGAGTGGTCCAATCACTAACTGTGTAAACTTCTTGCTACACCGGTCGGCTTCCAAGGTTTCTAAAGTGCAAATACTTAAACAACAATATGCCACCACGGCCAATTAAAATACCTCAATGTTATATGTTTAACAAATGTATGGGGTTTAATAAATTAAAAGTGCACCAAATGGTTGAATGTGTGACAATAGTGCTATGAATAAATTGCTATGAAAGTGGGAAAATGGATAGGTCCTGGGTATTGGTGAACCAAATCTGTGTTCAAGTCAGCAAGATAAAGTACAAATGCTCCGAAACGGGTACGAACCTGATGTGAATTTTACGGGTTAATTATTTGCAGTGGGTACGAATCTCTGTGGGTACGGATCGTCTTGTATCTGAATCTCGTGGAATCACACTGTCATTGCAGGCATCACCTTCAAGCATGACTTCGGCCAGCACATCCTCAAGAACCCTCTGGTTGTTGTCAGCATGGTGGAGAAGGTCAGTCTACATAGGACATCATTCTTGTTCTCAGCACTCAAAGAAATGGTTACTGGCTAGCGACCAGTTGACACTGAGGACCAGTTATCGCCAACTCCCCGTTATGGCGCTTACTTGATCGCATTTCGTTTTACTTTTGCTTGTTTTCATTGGAAGTGAGAAATATTTATCCAAAGATGATAAATAAAACTGACTATCGTGAGGAAATATTAAAAAACACCATAAAATGATGTTGCTCAAATACAACTTTAGAAAAGACATGCGGGCAATGTCATGTGACTGATGGCCCGCATAAACTAAAACCCAACAACACTTTCAGTTCTGTCATTGCTTACCATCTGTCTGTTATTTCTTCCGCAAAACACAATTCTGGACCTAATTGAGCTATTTTTCAAAAAATGCTTATCCCTGTATATATCGTGAATACCATAGTACATAGCGTTAAGGATAAGCTTGTGTAAATCAAATTTGGGGAACATTGGTTCACGTCAGTTTGCAGACAACAAATAGATACAGGCATATCTTATTAATTTTAATGACTTTAAAAATTGAGTGCGATACTAAAGAAAATAAAAAATGTAATTTGTATAACTGAAGCAGTGAGCGTGGTCAGGTGGCACCTGTTCTTTAGACAATGGCGATTACTGGTACAGCTGGTTGATGGGAATCTTCTATGTTTTGATTCGCAATCCAACATTGTCATTTATGTTGGACTAGAGTTAACAATATTAAAAAAAAACAGACACAAAGATGTATATCTATGGAAACTTCACAGAGAATAAGTCAATAATTTACAAGTTGGTTGATGGAAGAAAGTGCGTGGCAGCTGATTATTAAAGTCTCTGTGATGTTGCAGGCTGCGCTGCGGCCGACAGATGTGGTCCTGGAGGTCGGTCCTGGTACGGGCAACATGACGGTCAAGCTGCTGGAGAAGGTCAAGAAGGTCAGTCAGGACCAGCGGTCAATCATTCAAACTTTCTTTACTTGGGTTTAATAAGATCTAAGATACTGGACCAGTACTAGACTGGAGTAAAGCTATACTTTGTACAGATAGAAAATTATGAATACCCAATGAGCGAAAGAGAATGATTACTCACTGAGAGTATTATCTAGAGCACTGGCGTCGGCTACTCGTGAGTGCTGCTTATTACTTAATAGCAACACTTTCTCTTTTCTGCCAACTACAGAATGGCCTGGCTTGCTGGTAGATCTTATTGTCATTATAATGTCACATGTTTCAGGTGGGAGATATAGTGTCACATGTTTCAGGTGGTGGTTAACGATGTCACATGTTTCAGGTGGTGTTTAATGATGTCACATGTTTCAGGTTGTGGTTAATGATGTCACATGTTTCAGGTTGTAGATACCAATGTCACATGTTTCAAGTGGCGGTTAACAGTGTCACATCTTTCAGGTGGTGGTTAATGATGTCACATGTTTCAGGTTGTAGATACCAATGTCACATGTTTCAAATGGTGGTTAACATTGTCTCATGTTTCAGGTGGTGGCCTGTGAGATTGACCCCCGTCTGGTGGCGGAGCTGCACAAGAGAGTTCAAGGAACGTGAGTGCACCTCCAATGAGATGTTGGGTCTTGTATTTATGGAGTTATTTCAGACAATGATAGGAAGTGTTGGAGGGTAAACATGCTTGGGTTTGAGTCTTATCAAGAAGTCCGATAATAAAAACCCAAGTTCAAATCAATGAAAAAGAGAATGTTTTCAATGCTGTATTTTAGGAATAGCCCTATAGTCTGTATATATGTCACACTACACAAATGAATGCATGTTGTTTTCCGTCTCAGCCCCCAGGCCAGTAAGCTGCAGGTAATGGTGGGGGACGTCCTCAAGACAGAGCTGCCCTTCTTTGACATCTGTGTGGCCAATCTCCCATACCAGGTAGATTTATACATTATACATTATATTATAGATTTTATAATCGAGTCTGGACCAGACAATCCAGTGATTGATACCATGAGCATCGACCCACGCAATTGGGATCGATGACATGTATCAACCAAGTCAGCGAGTCTGGCCACCCGATCCAGTTATTCACCTTTTACGACAAGCATAGTCACTTTTTATGGCAAGCATGGGTTGCTGAAGACCTATTCTACCCCGGAATCTTCACATGTCTGGGTTTACCTGATTGCCCTGATTAAAGCATTTGGAGAGAGTGAGCCAGATAATGGACAGAAAATATATTATTAAGTGCAGTATTCTGTTTATTTCAGATTTCATCTCCCTTTGTCTTCAAATTACTTCTGCACAGACCTTTCTTCAGGTGAGTTTGTTTGTGGGACTAAACATGACGTGATGTTCTGATTGTACGACACAAGCACTTCCGAATGACAGGCTGGATATAGAGAGGTCTGAGGGGTAGTTTATCATCGTGATCCAGCTGGACAGAATAAAAGTGTCTGTGATGGTACTGTTACTTGGCGGCCATCTTAACTGACTATAAAAGTCCAGTTTCCACCCTTGCCGAACTAGACTGGAATTATGCGGTTATACTTTTGGCTGGAGTCTATGCATAGTCCAATCAAAATCGAGTATCAAAATCAAAACCCGGTTCATAAACTGCTGTGCCGATTTCCGTCAATTGCAGGATTTGCAAAGCATGTTTATCGACAACTTAGCGTCGACAGATACTTTCCAAACTTTTTCATGTTTTTAATCAAGGTGCTCCTGTGATTTGATGCACTTCTTGGGGTAAGACCCGTTTTATCGCAATATAGATCTTGATTATCGATCAGATCGTCTTGGCTGGGCGCCACCATCTTGTTTAAAGCAAATGAAGGTGATATGAGAAGTGGAATCTGATTGGTCAATAGGAGGCACATAGAAGGTACATAATTTGTAATAGCCACTGGTGGCGTTACAATCGAGCCGGGAAATTCTATCCTTGTTCGGCAAGGGTGGAAACTGGACTTTAAGGTCAGAGAACTCCCTTGCCTCGGGAAGTCTTTTGTTATTTCTTGGTGGTCTTATCACTACTTCAGCTGTCCCAACTTCCTGTGAGAGTTACCATAGTGTAATACAGTGACCTTTTCCCAAGAAGTATGAGAACTAACACAAGTCCAAGTTAAATTCTAATGTTTGTGAACTAGTATGGGAGTACAGTGTGTCTGTGATGTGGCTGATAGTGTGTGATCAGACCCCAACACTGGAAGGTTACCTGGGCATCATGTGCCTTTGTCCCGACTCATTGACATGGCATTGTGATGTAGCTTTAACACTGCTGCTGCTGATGGTGGACTGTCATGGAGTCATTCAGGGGCAGTGACAGCTACTGAGTGTGCAACCAGTTGTCCAGGTATTGATGTCATGGGCAGGGTGCGCATAGTGCAACCAGTTGTCCACGTATTGATGTCATGGGCAGGGTGCACATAGTGCATAGTGCAACCAGTTATCCAGGTATTGATGTCATGGGCAGGTTATGCATAGTGCATAGTGCAACCAGTCGTCCAGGTATTGATGTCATGGGCAGGTTATGCATAGTGCATAGTGCAACCAGTTGTCCAGGTATTGATGTCATGGGCTGGGTGCACATAGTGCATAGTGCAACCAGTCGACCAGGTATTGATGTCATGGGCAGGGTGCACATAGTGCATAGTGCCACCAGTTGTCCAGGTATTGATGTCATGGGCAGGGTGCACATAGTGCATAGTACAACCAGTTGTCCAGGTATTGATGTCATGGGCAGGGTGCACATAGTGCATAGTGCCACCAGTTGTCCAGGTATTGATGTCATCGGCAGGGTGCACATAGTGCATAGTACAACCAGTTGTCCAGGTATTGATGTCATGGGCATGGTGCACATAGTGCATAGTGCAACCAGTCATCCAGGTATTGATGTCATGGGCAGGGTGCACATAGTGCATAGTGCCACCAGTTGTCCAGGTATTGATGTCATCGGCAGGGTGCACATAGTGCATAGTACAACCAGTTGTCCAGGTATTGATGTCATGGGCAGGGTGCACATAGTGCATAGTGCAACCAGTCGACCAGGTATTGATGTCATGGGCAGGGTGCACATAGTGCATAGTGCCACCAGTTGTCCAGGTATTGATGTCATGGGCAGGGTGCACATAGTGCATAGTGCCACCAGTCGTCCAGGTATTGATGTCATGGGCAGGGTGCACATAGTGCATAGTGCAACCAGTCGTCCAGGTATTGATGTCATGGGCAGGGTGCACATAGTGCATAGTGCAACCAGTCGACCAGGTATTGATGTCATGGGCAGGGTGCACATAGTGCATAGTGCAACCAGTCGACCAGGTATTGATGTCATGGGCAGGGTGCACATAGTGCATAGTGCAACCAGGTATTGATGTCATGGGCGGGTTATGCAAAGTTTATAGTGCAACCAGTCGTCCAGGTATTGATGTCATGGGCAGGGTGCACATAGTGCATAGTGCAACCAGTCGACCAGGTATTGATGTCATGGGCAGGGTGCACATAGTGCATAGTACAACCGGTTGTCCAGGTATTGATGTCTTGGCCATGTGCACATAGTGCATAGTGCAACCAGTTGTCCAGGTATTGATGTCATGGGCAGGGTGCACATAGTGCATAGTGCCACCAGTTGTCCAGGTATTGATGTCATGGGCAGGGTGCACATAGTGCATAGTGCCACCAGTTGTCCAGGTATTGATGTCATGGGCAGGGTGCACATAGTGCAACCAGTCGACCAGGTATTGATGTCATGGGCAGGGTGCACATAGTGCATAGTACAAATTGTTGTCCAGGTATTGATGTCATGGGCAAGGTGCACATAGTGCATAGTGCAACCAGTTGTCCAGGTATTGATGTCATGGGCAGGGTGCACATAGTGCATAGTGCAACCAGTCGTCCAGGTATTGATGTCATGGGCAGGGTGCACATAGTGCATAGTGCAACCAGTCATCCAGGTATTGATGTCATGGGCAGGGTGCACATAGTGCATAGTGCAACCAGTTGTCCAGGTATTGATGTCATGGGCGGGTTATGCATAGTGCATAGTGCAACCAGTCGTCCAGGTATTGATGTCATGGGCATGGTGCACATAGCATGCATAGTGCAACCAGTTGTCCAGGTATTGATGTCATGGGCAGGTTATGCATAGTGCATAGTGCAACCAGTTATCCAGGTATTGATGTCATGGGCAGGTTATGCATAGTGCAACCAGTTATCCAGGTATTGATGTCATGAGCAGGTTATGCATAGTGCATAGTGCAACCAGTCGTCCAGGTATTGATGTCATGGGCTAGGTGCACATAGCATGCATAGTCCAGGTAACTTCTACTTGTGAAATTTACCCGACAGTACATTTTCATTATTTTCTTGGTGTGCTGTTATGTGCTGAATTAACCACAACTTTGTATCACCACGAGGCTTGTTGCTGTTCCAGATGTGCTGTGCTGATGTTTCAGAGAGAGTTTGCCCAGAGACTGGTGGCAAAGCCTGGGGACAAACTCTACTGTCGGCTGTCTGTGAACACACAGCTTCTGGCCCGGGTTGACAACCTGATGAAGGTGTGTAGAGTGGGGGGTCAGGGTCTCATACTGTCTGTGAACACACAGCTTCCGACCCGGGTTGACAACTTGATGAAGGTGTGTAGAGAGGGAGGCTAGGGTCTTATACTGTCTGTGGACACACAGCTTCTGGCCAGCTTGACAACCTGTTGAAGGTGTGTAGAGAGGGAGGCTAGGGTCTCATACTGTCTGTGAACACACAGCTTCTGGCCCGGGATGACAACCTGATGAAGGTGTGTAGAGAGGGAGGCTAGGGTCTTATACTGTCTGTGGACACACAGCTTCTGGCCAGCTTGACAACCTGTTGAAGGTGTGTAGAGAGGGAGGCTAGGGTCTCATACTGTCTGTGAACACACAGCTTCTGACCCGGGTTGACAACCTGATGAAGGTGTGTAGAGTAGAATAGGGGGGTCAGGGTCTTATACTGTCTGTGAACACACAGCTTTTGGCCCAGGTTGACAACCTGATGAAGGTGTGTAGAGTGGGGGTCAGGGTCTTATACTGTCTGTGGACACACAGCTTTTGGCCCAGGTTGACAACTTGATGAAGGTGTGTAGAGTGGGGGTCAGGGTCTCATACTGTCTGTGAACACACAGCTTCTGGCCCAGGTTGACAACCTGATGAAGGTGTGTAGAGTGGGGGTCAGGGTCTCATACTGTCTGTGAACACACAGCTTCTGGCCCAGGTTGACAACCTGATGAAGGTGTGTAGAGTGGGGGTCAGGGTCTTATACTGTCTGTGGACACACAGCTTCTGGCCCGGGATGACAACCTGATGAAGGTGTGTAGAGTGGGAGGCTAGGGTCTTATACTGTCTGTGAACACACAGCTTCTGGCCAGCTTGACAACCTGTTGAAGGTGATGACAGACTTTATTTCATCACTCCGCACGTTGAACATAAATCTTTAGAACAGTTAGCATAGAACTTAATCTCCTCACAGAGTACTCAGACACAGGTAAGATGTATTTCTGCTGGGACTGCAGAGTATTACCGGTATATTGCAATACTTTCTTCAAATGATTCATATCGCAATATTTTTTTTGTTCCCGTATAATGGGTTAAAGATATATAGCAAGTTTCAGTACTATTGTTATCCTTAAACCTAAATTCATTCACAAATGATGTGGGGGAATGGGTGGCGCAGTCGTCTAAGGCGCCGCGAATTGCTGTGCAGAGTTGTCCTTTGGTCACGCCAGAAACCTATGATTGTGGGTTTGAATCCCGGTTCGCCCCGATTATGTTTCTAGGTTTGTCAGCACCATACCCGCGCTCATGGGTTTCACCGAAGTGGTAAACGTCTGAGACCTGCATTACTTCAGGCTTTCCTCCCACATTGAGGCTGACACGCCGTGATATAACTGGAATACTGTTCAAAGCGGCGTTAAACCCAACTCACTCACTCACTATTATCTGTGGATTTGACTGCAGGCTGTAGCACATTAGGAGTTCTAGTTACTATTCAGCATTGAAATCATTCAGCATCAAGGAATGATTCTTTTCAGGTTGGCAAGAACAACTTTCGACCACCCCCCAAAGTTGAGTCCAGCGTCGTCAGGATAGAGCCACGGAACCCTCCCCCTCCCATAAACTTCAAGGTACATCTTGCTTCCTGATTATCTCCCTTTGAGATTAACAATCAGCCTGTCCATTGATAGGATCTCTATGTCACTGTTAAGTGATCCACCAGCACTTGTAACTGTCATGATGTCAGTGTAGCCGTGCAAGTGTGTGTGTGTGCCTGGTTTGGAGGACTGATGTTGTTTGAGGAGTGGGAGTATTGTTTGTTTGTTGTTTAATACCGCACTCAGCAATATTCCATCTATATGACAGTGCTCTGTAAATAATCACGTCTGGATCAAACAAATCCAGTGATTGACATCATGAGCATCAATCAAAGCAATTGGAATACGAAGACATACATCAACCAAGTCAGCAAGGCTGACCACCCGATCCTCTTAGTCGCCTGGGTCGCTGAAGACCTATTCTACCCTGGATCATCACGGGTCAGTTATATGTGGTGGTGCTAGTGTACCAGGTTTACAGGTTCTTCTGTTGTTTCAGGAGTGGGATGGCCTGGTGAGAATTTGCTTTGCGAGGAAAAACAAGACTATAGGAGCTGCCTTCAAGTGAGTATATAATTTGAAGTATCACATATATAGAATGTTATTCAGATTCAATCAAGACCAATTTTATCACGACTCAGACACAAAATTACCCTCAATTTATTTTTCCGTACACAATAAGTGTGACTTTTTCTCGGATTATATGAGATGTTAAATTAGGTTTAGTTGAAAGTAGAAACCTGGTTGATACTGATAGTTAAATACTGTGAACAAGGGAGGCAACTCTTGTAGGTCCTTGTCTTCACAGCTTCTCTATGGCCTGGTTACTCGCAGGGTAATAAGAAGGACTGTTAAAAGCATGACTGAGGTTGTTATTGTATTCCTTGCATTTCAGATTCACCAAAGTATTGAATCTGATGGAGAAGAACTACAAGATTCATTGTTCTGTCAATAACATAGTAAGTACTGGCTTGTGATTGCACTGCTCAGTGCTCAGAGACCCGTGAAGATTCCGGGGTAGAAGAGGTCTTCAGCAACCCATGCTTGCCGTAAAAGGTGACTATGCTTGTAAAAGGCGACTAACGGGATCAGGTGGTCAGGCTCGCTGACTTGGTTGATGCATGTCATCGATCCCAATTGCGTGGATCGATGCTCATGATATCAATCACTGGATTGTCTGGTCCAGACTCGATTACTTACAGACCACCGTCATATAGCTGGAATATTGCTGAGTGCAGCGTTAAACAACAAACCAACCAACCAACCAACCACAACAGAAGTGTATTCTATTGATGTTGGACGTTCTATTTATTTTGCGTTTTTGTGATAAATCTTAATGGGTCATAAAAGGTGTTCATGATAGCGACTTGTCCATGTTTATTTCTAGACAATACCTGCAGATTTTGACATCAAGGAAAAAGTAGTGAAGATTCTTGAAGAGACCAGCTTTGACAAGAAGCGAGCCCGCACAATGGATATTGATGACTTCCTGGCGTACGTACGATGTCTGATCCCCTCCTCCCATACTTCCTCCTGTAGTCTCTACCTAACATTATCCAACTAGTGAGGGGTTGGTGGGTAGCCTAGCGGTTAAAGCGTTCGCTTGTCACGCCAAAGACCCGGGTTCGAAAAGGCCATTTCTGGTGTTCCCCGCCATGATGTTGCTGGAATATTGCTAAAAGCGACATAAAACAAAACTCATTCACTACTGATTAGTGTTTGGTGTAACAGCCATTAAAGTAAACATTTATGGTTTATACATATTTAAATTGAGCAATTATTAATATCATGATTATCATGATTATTCATCTTCTTTACAGGCTGTTGAACAGTTTCAACAAGGACGGCTTCCATTTCTCCTGATGCAAGATGTGGTTCCAGTATTGTCTGATGCAGTGTGGGAACTTTCGATGGACAACAGGCAGTGGGCTCTTCATGGACAGTGAAGCTTCATTTGTATGTTTCTGTGAACACTGAACATCTCTGTAAAAGGCGATTATGCTTGTCATAAGAGGCGACTAACGGGATTAGATGGTCAGACTCGCTGACTTGGTTGATGCATGTCATCGATCCCAATTGCGTGGATCAATGCTCATGATATTAATCACTGGATTGTCTATCAATCACTGGATTGGCTAGTACAGACTCGATAATTTACAGACCTCTGCATATGGCTGGAATATTGCTGAGTGCGGCGTAAACAACAAACCAACTGTGACATCTGAATGCATGAATGCCAGTTGTACAGTACACATCGTCATGAGCTGGAACACTCTGAAGTCTGTCATGAAGCTTGTGTCAAGGAATCTCAGACACTGAATATCGTGGAACACTATTGACTGCCAACAGTGGTGGCTGTCAGTCTGACCGGTATTACATTAGTGCCAATACCTTGAGCTACAGTGTGTGTACTGTATCGTGACGTATATCAGCAGCATGTCATATGGTATGAATGAATTTTATACTATTTGCTGACAGTGTGTATATATGTGTGTGCAGGAGTTCTCGAGCCATTGTATATTTAAAAAGTTTTCAGAACATGATGGGTGACGAATGACTACAAGAATTGTTAAAAAAAGACACGAAGCCTGTAAATCGATTCTATAAACACTTGTTTATTTGGTCAGTGCCAGAAAATAAATATGTATGTACATTTGGGTGTTCTCTGTCGAGACCGATGTGTGTGGCATGGTGGTTCAACACACCCATCTTGCAGACACTTGTTTCCCCGACACTGATGTCAAACGTTCAACGCCCAGTCTCACACACAGCCAGCCTCGCTCGCTCGCACGCTCACGCTCTCTCCAGCTTGCTCCACCTATATACAGGTGTGTGGTCCTACGTACACAGGAACTGATGACAAGTACACATGCATCTGTATTGATGACATATCCTGGCAGAAATCACCTAATACCATCACCGGTTCCTGGAACATGATACAAACTTTCGTCATTTTGCTCCAACTTCAGATCTCAACAAATAGGTCGTTTCCTAATTGAAACCACTTACGATTTCAGAGTATGATTATTATTCCAAAATAAACTTGGTGCTGGTTGAAATAAGGTTCCAGGTTTTTAATATTACCCGCCCACCATGAGCATGGCTGTTGTGTAATATTCCATTAGGAACAGGAGATGGTACATGAAGAGGCAATGGTTGCTATACTGTCAGTGAACTTGAACAGATAACAGCATAACCTTGCAATCATAAGAGGAAGATTTCCTTGCCTATACATAAAGTACACAGAAAGAAGTACTAGTTAACAAAGACTCACATTAATGAATTAAGTATTGCCACTTTTCAGCAATCAAGTCCATGACCCAGCTGGGGTCAAGGGTACAACAATGTAACAGCTGATTAACATGTATGATTAACCCCCCCCCCCCCCCCCCCCCCCAGGCAAGACTGTTCTTAGTTTACTGATGCACTTACAAAACAAACTATTTTTTTATGTGAAAATACAAGATCAAATAATCCATTAACCATAGAATGTTCTTAGTTTTCAGTTAACGGATGCACTTACAAACCAAACAATTTTTTTAAATGAAAATACATGATCAAATATACCCTTCTGACAGAAATAAAAAACTAAAAAGAAACCCTCCTTCAGTTTAAACAGAATGTTTCACTTTGACCAACCCACGAAATATTATGCCAAAATAAAAAATCGAATATTCTTATGTCAACCTATACAAGCATAAAAAAACCATTAAGCATAAACTTAAAAAAGTGTTGTCTTACGTGAAACAGAACAAAGCGGCTACAGTCAAACTGTTTTAACAATGACTCACTCTATGGCATAATTAGGAGTACATTAAGGGTGGTAACGATATGGTGAAACAGTCGGTAGTTGATATGCATCGTACATCTTCCCGAGGCAAGTGAGTTAACGGACTATAAAAGTCCAGTTTCCACCCTTGCCGAACTAGGCTGGTATTATGGAGTTACATTCTGCCTGGACTAACGAGTTTATGCATAATCAAAATCGCGCACTGAAATCGAAATCCGGTTCGTAAAGTGTCATGCAGATTTCGGCCGACTGCAGGATTTGCAAAGCATGTGCACCGCTAACTCGGTGTCAACAGATATTTTCCAGATCTTTTCATGTTTTTAATCAAGGTGCTCACGTGATTTGATGCACTTCGCGATGTAAGACTCGTTTTATCACAATATAGATCTTGGTTTTGTTTGAAGCAAATGCAAGTGATACGAGAGGTTGAATCTGATTGGTCAATAGGAGAGGCATAGAAAGGACATAACTGGTAATAGCCACTGGTGGCGCTACGATCGAGCCCAGGAATTCCAGCCTAGTAATTCTTGCCTCGGGAAGATGTGCATCGTATTGCATACCAACCATATTGTCATGGGAATATAGATGACATAATTTGTACTGCATACCCACTATATTATTGGGAATACATATATTGCATACCCACAATACATAATAGGAATACATACCGTATTGCATACCTACTATATTAATGGGGAATACATACCGTATTGCATAATTACCATATCGATGGGAATACATATCGTATTATATACTCACTTTATTATTGGGAATACATAGATTGCATACCTACTATATTAGTTGGTATACATATCATATTGTGCTACCTGCAGCCACCATATCGCTTCGTCCCTAACAGACCAACATATTGCCTGCCTGGCTGCCTGTGTAGATGTAACTGGTCAACAATAACAGTCAGTGATTCATATGACTTGCTGTAGGCTGGAGCTACCAATAAGTTCATCCCTGAATGATTATATGACATATTACAACAGTGAACAGTGTGCCACCAGTCCTATGCCCGACGAGCTGATTGTTCCAAGATGAGTGAGTGAGTGAATTGGTTTTAATGCCGCTTTTAACAGTATTTCAGTTATATTGCGGCGTGTCAGCTTAATGTGGGAGGAAAGCCTGAAGTGATGCAGGTCTCAGACGTTTACCACTTCGGTGAAACCCACGAGCACGGGTATGGTGCTGACAAACCTAGAAACATAATCGGGGCGAACCGGGATTCGAACACACAATCATAGGTTTCTGGCGTGACCAAAGGACGCAACTCTGCACAGCGAATTGCGGCGCCTTAGACGACTGGGCCACCTGTGCCCCCTGTTCCAAGATGAGGACATGCATACACCGATTATGGATTTCAAACTTTCTTCCGAAAATAATTATACTGTTGTTCAAACATGTCCTTGTATTAGCAAATATTTCATTATTAACTGTTGCCGTGTCAAGTTAATCCTTTCTTCCTTGAAACAATTACTCATTGTGTACTACACAAAACAAGTTAAAGAATACTCACAATGGAAGGCTGTGAGTTGCAATAATCACTAGCCATGACTAAGTATAGTCATATGGAAGCATTGAGAGTTCTTTAACTTCTTTTGATTTGTATATTTGAATAAAACATCAATGACACACTGAATGTCAAGCATTGTACTGGTGGTACATTGTGGTTATGTATAGTCAGACTACAGCCTGATGTTCCAGTGAGAGTCAACAAGTGATGTCTGGCTGGTATTACTGTAGAACAGATCAACAAATATCTTGAAAACAAGTTGAGCTAAATTTAAATATGTCAAATTCAACAGTAACACCTGGGGCGTGTATACTGATAAAGAACTGACCTGACCGATGCAGAATTACTTTTCTCCCTTTGAGAAACAATTTACTCTCATTTCAAAATGCACGTTTGTTTGTTTGTTGTTTAACAATGCACTCGGCAATATTCCAGCCATATGACAGCGGTCGGTAAATAATCGTGTCTGAACCAAACAATCCAGTGATTGACATCATGAGCATCGATCCTCCCAACTGGGATACGATGACAAGCATCAAGCAAATCAGCGAGCCTGACCACCCGATCCCGTTAGTCGACTCTTATGACAAGGATGGGATGGTGAATACCTATTCTAACCCGGATCTTCACGGGTCGCCTTGACACGTGGATGAGCTGGGATGTATATGCTTTCTGACTTGTACATATTATATGTGTGTGTGTGATGTAATGATGTATATATGTTCTCTGCACGTGGCACTGTGTGTATTGTTTTAGAATAAAGTTCTGTTCTGTTCTGATATATAGCTTGCGTTATACTGTAGGGCCGCCGTTAATTTCTTACTCACATCATATACACTATAAACAAGCAAACACACTGAATGAACAAGCAGCCAAGACGACTTTTATCTTCCATGTATGTGAGGGGAATGGGCTTCTTTTCTACCAATGAACAAAGGGAGACCACCCATGTCAGACTTTTTCTTTGAGTGTATCAGTGGCGATGCTTGCTTGTGATTTCCCAGGCGACTTGCTCAGCCCGTCGTTCCGCGGCAATAAAGTGCGGACGTCCCGCCAACCTTAAACACACATCGCGCCTTACACACCAGCAAACAGTCCCCAGTTAAGTCGAACGGTCCTTACCAGCAAACATTTTCATAATTAAGCCAGAGAATGCTCAGGGACAAAACAAACTGAACCCGCCCTTCTTATTATCAACGACGGTAACCACGGCAACGGCCACCATAACTTTATCTGCTTCCCCTTTTTAAGTCTTTGGCTCCCATAGACATGCAGCCGTAGAGGTTTAGCTATGCCGGAAACGGAAGATGATGCCACGTTCTGACTTCGTCTCGGTAACGTAGTTACCGTTGTCGTGGCCAACGTCCCTTCTGTTTTGAACAGATTCACTATCGCTCTTGCTCCCTATCGCTCTGCATTTCGTTGACTACAGCATCGTTTCAAGATCTTCTACTGACAAGATGTTTACAAGGCTGCATATTCAAGGTATTTAAGAATGCAATTATTGTATTTTAAAGTGTTTAGAACGTAGATAAGTACTGAAATTGGCCGTGGTTTGATAGCAGTACCGATGGTGATGACACTGGCCGCCATTTGCAATTGATTTGATTCAGAAATGGGTGTCTTCTAAATCTCTTGTCTGCTCTGAAATGAGAGCGGTCCGGATAAAGATATATGACGGACGATGTTATTCAAACATTATAGATCAAATGTGTGACATTGTATAACTTTGATATCTATTTAAACGTAAACTACTCTTTCAAACGAACGGCCTTGGAATGACATGACTAAAACACATAAACACAATGATGAAATGCTCATAGTGTCGATAGTACTCTCTACTCCTAATCCACCTGTCTATCCGTCCGTCCGTCCGTCCGTCAATCCATTCAGGTTCTGAAGAGTAAATAAGAGCTGTACAACTTTTCGTCGAGATGTGTTGCAAAATATCTAGATCTATATTTGTTGACTAGAGGCCGGGCGATGTCTTTTATCAAAGTTGTACAGTGTAACCTCGTTAACTCGAACTCGTTAACCCCCTGGATGCCAGAGGGACATATATGTCCCTCCTCTACAACCCTCACTTTGAAGTCGAATAAAATTCAAAATACATCACCCACACAACAACACTTTACAGTTTTGAATAAGGTGGGAAATTCCCTGTCCTGTGATATCATCCACTGCCATTTTAGGCCAAGCAAAAGTACTGAACATGACCTCTGAAAATTAGGCACATCGTAAATGTCGCCATCTTTTACACATTACTAAATCACCACTCACGGCGTTATTTACAGCATGTTTTGAAATCTAAATTTCAGATATTTACTCGGAGAAATGAATTTCA